TCGTGTATATAGTGCTGATCTGTTACGCAATTAATACGCGTATTTTTTAATTAAAATTTTTTCAGCATACAAATATGCAATAAGATTTCAAGAAAGTTGTAGTAAACGGAATTTATCTACTGCTAAGAATAAACAAAGAAATTTTCAATTCTTCACGCCATTGCAAAAAGCTTTGTTCGATAATCTTCGCTGTGGTTATTCGAATTACCTATTTTACAAGCATCAAATGAAACACTGAAGTTTATATACAGTATTCTATGATAAAGTTAATTTATATAATTTATATTATATAAATTATAAAGTGCGCTGATTTGTTATGCAAAATAAATATATATACAGTAAATAACTTTTGGAGGTTCGTTTGAACTACAAAAGTTTATAATAACTAAAATTTTAAGAATTAAAAATTAGAAATCTCGAAATGAATATAAAAAAAATTCTTCGAGAAGAAAATTATAAATCGGTTTCACATTTTCAAGGTGTGATAAAAATACACAAGAGCAATATTATTCTGTTTTTTATATTTATTATTGAGATCATTATAATTTTGCTGTTAAGTATTTTTTATTTTCTCAAATTGATATATAGAAGTTCGAACTGATTTTATTAATTTTTCATAGGATCAGATGGTCTAATAATTCATATTTGTATACTGAGCCTTACGAGCCAATTGTTCATGGAACTTTTAGGATTGACCAACCTGAACCTTTGGATATGTTTATAATACGAAAGATAGAATATTTAATACAAATTATTAAAACTTTTTTTTACATAAGAGGATTTGGACATCCAGAATATGAAGGATTAGTGCCGATATAAATCTTTAATTTTTCAGTAAATTGAAATCATTTAAAAGTTCAAGATGTGATAAAAACACACAAGAAATTTCGTATTTGCAATATTATTCTGTTTTTTTATATTTATTATTGAGGCCTTTATCGTAATTATGATTTTGCTGTTAAGTATTTTTTATTTTCTCAAATTGATGCATAGAAGTTCGAACTGATTTTATCGATTTTTTATAGGATTAAATGGTCGAAGCATTCATATTTGTATACTGAGCCTTATGAGCCAATTGTACATAGAACTTTTGACAACAATCAACCTGAACTTTTGTACATTCCTGAAATATTTGCAATACAAATTATAAAAGATTTTTTTGCTGAAATAATGGCTGGAGGTCGTGGGTTCAGATATCCAGATTATGATGAGTTAGTGCCATATTAAATAGTTTCAATTTATTCAAATTGGATTTTATTGTGAATAGAATTTATGGCAGTGAAGGCTTTTAATTTATTAAACTAAAATATTAAAGTTAACGTAAAGTTAAATTTGTATAAATTAAACCTATCTCTTTAAACCTCTCGTAATACTTCGGGAAAAATAAATTCATTGTAGCAATTTCCAGATATATAATAATGATAGGGTTCTAAAAAAATGAAACTGATCCTAATTTTATCATATTACGTGTTCGTGTTCCGTGAGTTTTTCGTTATTCGGATTGATCCGGAAAAAAGCAAATATAACACACGTTTGTATTTTAACATAGATTTATGCAAACTTGGTTTCACAACATAAATATTTTTTTTTAACGTAAGATTGTCACAAATTGATACTCTTAGTTTTTCACTAAATATCGCTCTTTTCAAAGTATAATATAGTAAATATCTGTATCATTCTTTTATTTTTATTATTATTTCTTTTTAACTATTACATTATGTCCGTTACAAAGACTAAGAAAACCGACTATATTGAAAGGATTCAAAGCAGTGAAAAAAAATTTACTCCTACCGTCGCTCCAGTGATAAATATTGACAGATTTAAAGCGGAAGAGTGGAAAAATTATAACGAAAAAATTCTTGAAAAAAAAAAACAAACTAAAATCGACCAAGACTGGGCTGAGGTTTACAGTAAATTTATAATGTTTAAGTCGATTTATGATTCCATCAAAACACAAACGTTTGTGGCTGAAAATCTAAAGACTAAAGCAATCAATAATATGATCAGACAAGCGATTCCAGAATCAATGTTCTCGGAAATATCAAAATTGAGAAAGGTCTTTGAATATACCGTGATTGTTATAGAAAATGAGAATATTAGTTTAGAAAATTTTCTTGAAGAAATACGAGATTTAAACATTACTTTAAATTATCTTCAGGAGATTAATAAAGATGGTTTTTTGGCTTTACTTAGCGCTATCATGAATAAAAAAGAGGTCAGTATCTTAAAAAATATCCTACCTGAATTGCGACAAAGCATTGATTATTTATTCAAAATTTGCATTTCTTCGGCAATGAACAGATAACTAAAGATAAAAATTAATCGTGATTAAGATTTAAATATACAAATATGTTTTGGTTTCCCTAAAAATTAAAAAATTCTTAAAGATTTGAAGGTCAATTATTTTAATCCGTAATACTGTATTTAATATTTTATGGTTAGGATTTTAATATTTTAATTAAGCTTATTAAGATGTTAAGTATTTTTAGTTAAACTTATTAATTAAGTTAATAAAATAATTATAACCATGATACGTAAACCGTGATTAGAGAATCGAACTGTATGATTTTAACCCATTTGAATAAGTACTTTTTTAAATATAAAAAAAAAAAAAAATTTTTTAATATTTAAAAAATAGAAAGTTTTATTAAGATCTGTAATGGTTTACATCTAGTGATTGGACTAACAATACAAAAAATATTGATTCTTAATTGTCGCATTTATAATTTATGAAGTTTCCATAATATTATTTCAACTAGATTATGGGTATGATATTTGAATTTTTAAGTCTCATCACTATTCACATCACTAGGAATAACCGATATTGTAAAATTCAAATGCGGTCAGATTACTTAACATCCCAAAGTTAAAAATTGGTGATACTTAATTGTTGCATTCGAATAGTTAAGTTATCCAAAACTTATAGTTAATATAATTGTATTCTAAAACTATAGTTTTAGAGTATAATTTATATTAACTATTAGTTTTTGGATAACTTACTACATTCGAA